ATGCGGGACTCGATCCCAGGACCCTGAGATCATGACCTGAGCCGAAGGCAGCGGCTTAACCCACTGAGCCACCCAGGCGCCCATGTCCGTTGTTTTTAATGCTGCTCATGACCCAACACATGGATTTCACAACCTAGAAATGGGCACAGCTTGTCCCACCCAGGTCCAGGTATCCTCTGAGGTCCCTGCGGTTCCACTTCTGCTTAATTAATGTCTCCAGTCCTGGAGCCCAGCAGGAACCGCACAGACTCCCGGGAGCGGTGTGGCAGCCTGCCCGAGTTCCTGCCACTCTGTGAGCCTCACGTCTTCACTGGGCACCCCACTGTCTCCTTTACCCCCCGTGGGCATTTTCTTTCCAAACCACAGCTCCAAGCGCATCACTGCCCTGGTCCGAACCTTCCACACCTGCCTCGCCTTCTAGAATCAGTCCGAACCCCTCTGCCTAGCCATTCTGTCTAGGCTGACCTTCTTTGTCCTCCTGCAGCCCTCCTTCCCCTTCCCGCAGAAGCCAGCTCAGCCCCTCGCGGCCCTTCTCCCTCCTCACGCCCGGCCCTAGCCCAGTTCATTCCCAGCACAGTGAGGCCCATCCAGGCTGTCCCTCCATCATGGAGCCCAGCAGAATGGAAGTGCCTTTCTCTGGCGCTGGTGCGGACTTTCTGGAAGAAGCTCTGTGGCTACACGGAGGGCTCTGACAGCAGGGCTGATACTCTGGCCCTGGGACTGGGCATGCCCTGGTTTGAGGCCCCCGGCGGGTCCCCAGGGCAGGGACGTGGGGGTGGGGACGCCCTCCATGTCCCAGACTCCTTGCGCCCGTCTCTTGTCTGCCTTCTAACCAAGCCCTCCGGTGTTGTGCCCCAGAAAACCAGGAGTACTTTGAGAAGCACCGGTGGCCGCCTGTCTGGTACCTGAAGGAAGAGGATCACTACCAGCGGGCACGGAAGGAGCGCGAGAAGGAGGACTATCTCCACCTGAAACGGCAGCCCAAGCGGCGGTGGCTGTTCTGGAACAGTCCCTCCTCTCCGTCCTCTTCTGCAGCCTCCTCGTCATCCCCATCTTCTTCCTCGGCTGTGGTCTGAGACGCTGCCACCCTTTTCTGACCCTGCTGCTCTTCCCCCCACTTGCCTTTGCCCCTCTGCTCTTCCGCACCGCCCCTCCACCTTCCAGGGACAAGGGGACCCACGTAACCAGGACCCCAAGGGCAGAGCTGTTCTCACCAGCTGACGTAGCTCAGCGAGAGAGGAGGGGGGCCTTGTGGATCAGTGCAGGGACCCCCTGCAGGGGACCCCAGTTCCAGAGCGGGGCGGGAGGCTGACAGCTGCAGGGAGGCGGGGGGGCAGGGAGGGCGCAGAAGGTTCTGGCATGTGACTCTGGTGTGGAGAACACTGGGGTCCATGGCAGACTCTCCCAGCCAGGAGGCTGTGTGGCTCGGCTTGGTCTGTGGAGACGGCCCCCTCCCAGGGAGTGGCTATGCACAGGGAGGGTCCTGTCTCTTGGCCACATTTTTCCATCCACGGACCTGAGGGTGGCAGATGTTTTGTGGGGCGCCTACTCAGATCCTCGCTGGAGAGGTCAGGGTAGAAATGAAACTTTCAGACCCAACTCGAGGCTTCCACATCCTGGGGCGAAGCTGCCGAGGCCATGGGTGGGAAGGCTTGCGCTCGGCGGGCGGCCCTCCCTCCCCCGGGGGTGAGCGTCCAGGCCTGATCAAGGATGGCACAGCCTGGTCTGAGCTTTCGGTCTCAGAGCAGTGAGAAACTCCTCCCTCCCCGTGCTTGCGCCACTCAGATCCAGAGATGGGAACCGAAGGAGACAGCTGGAACGGGAGGAGAGGAGAAAGTTGGGGGGGTGGTTTCTGGGTGCAGCAACGCCATGCTCTTCTGGGCTGCTCCCCCTGCCTCTGGTTAGCACGGCTTCTTAGCACGGTGGGGCAAGATTAGCAAAAACAAACAAACAAACAAACACAGAAAAACCGAAATCCCAAACAGCAGCAAAATCATCCCAACAAAAACATGTTGGCTTCTATCCCCTCAAAGAAAAACAACCATAGAAAAAGACCCTGTAGAGCTTACAAACAGGGGCTTCCATGTTGAGGAGACAACAGTAGAGACTGTAAAATAATTCCAGAGCCTTTGGGAAAGGACTCGTTACCGACTGCAGCTGGGGATGCACAGGCCTTGCTGGCCGGCTCTGAGGATGGCACGAGTTCTGAGTGAGCACGCTGGGATCAAGGCTTCGGGGGCAAGGCCAGGGCTTCTCAGGGCTTGAACGTGGCATTGGACCCCAGCTTTGCCCATCATGAGAATCACTTCTGGACTTCAGAGAGCGACTTGCCATTCCCAGAATGGGGGGGGAGGGGGTCAAAGGTCAGGGGAAAGGGCAACGACTAGGAAGACAGAGGTCCCTGTAATGAAGGATCACAGGACATGAGCTCCCTTAGTGCTGGTTGGCGGGCAGGGGTTGGGCGTGGGGGAGGAAAAGGAGAGATGTGAGCAGGGGCAAAGAAAAGTCAGCTCCAGGAAGAGGGGAACAAGACTAGAGGATTGTGGGGGATAAGACAGCAGCTTGTGACCCCATGGGGAAAAGCTGGGCCACATTTTACCTCTCCCGGTTTTGTGATCCTAACCCATATTTCACCCCCCACACGGTTATGTCAACTTAAAAGCCAGAGTCCCACGGATGATGGGTGGAACCCTGGGCTGGGCTCTACCAGCAAGACCCAGGCTTCGGGTCTGGGGTCAGACAAACCCGGAAACAGGAAAAGTTTGCAACAGTTTTGCAGAACAGAGATCTAGAGATTCGATGGTAAGTCCCCGGCGAGAGAAGAAGCAGGAGGTGACAGGCTGGGCAGGTCTGGGGTGGCTGCACCCCCTGATGTTTGCACCACGGAGTTTTCCAAGGCGGGAAGTGTTTCTCCTTCTGGCCGGCTGGCAGGCCAGACATGTGCTCCTGCCTGCTGAGTTCTCATCCTTGGCTTCATGGCAAGGCTGAGGAACCAACAGGCAAGGGCAGAAGGCCGCTCACAAGGGGGTGCAGCTCTGCACCCAGCACCCTCGCTCTGGGGAAGGGAGCCAGAGTTGGGGCCATGGTGTCTCCCGGGAACTCCTGGTGAGAGGGAGGGAGAGCAGAAACCTACAGTCCAGGGGAGAGGGGGAATTGGGGGACTGAGCAGTGTGGCCCCACTGATGAGGATGCAGAAAGGCCAAGGGGAGAGTCAGGGTGGTCTAGGAGGTGCAGGGAGCCCATGGGAGAGGACCCATAGGACCATCCCAGCGACCAGAGTGGGCTCACCCCTCAGGGACCCAGTGCCTCTTACTAGCTGCACTCTGGGGGTCCAGCAGGCCCCTGTGCAAGCCAGAGAGACCACCTGAAGAGGCTGTGTGGCAGCCAGGCCAGAGCTGGCGACCTCCCAGGAGAGAAGAAGGAGGAGGGCTGAATTCCAGTCCCGCAAGAACCTGGCATTTGGAAAGGCAGGGTGATAGGAAGGACAAGTCACAAGAACACACACCCCTGTACTCGTGTCACTCAAGCTGCTTCAGAGGAGAGTGGGAGGGTGGAGGAGGAAAAACACACACACCTCTTTTTATATAAGGTTTCATATTTAATTTGGTCATGAATTCATAAATACACGAGTATTTTGTACCTAATGGCCTGCCTCGTATTGTTTGATATGTCCCACAACCTCTCCAGAGGAGGCACCTTCCCTTGGGGAGAAGCATGAAAGGGCACCAATCGCCAGCGCAATGCTAGTGCTCGCTGGGGCCCGAGTGCAGTCAGGACTGGATCGGCTCCAAGCTCTGATGCGCTCGACCTCAAATGAGGAAGCCTGACCAGCCCCCATGAGGCTAATACCGCAGACGGGCACTCAGGTCCTCTGAGAAGGAGTGCAGATGCGCTGAAGGCCGACTGGCAAAAATTCACGGCTCCTGAAGATGCAAGCGCCCCACATGCAAGGTGCGGCAGAGGCAGGAAACCCGGAGTCTTCCAGGAATGGGAAGGTTGGGGGGTGGGGGGGACCTCTGGAAGCAAGTGGGAGAGGGAGGGAAACAGCGAGGCCATGAGGATGTGCCCCCACCAGACTCCGCTAGAACATCAACTCCCTGAACATACCTAAGTGTCCAGGCATTTGAACTGAGCCCTACCAGTCTGGGCACACACAGACCTTTGCACTGGGGAAGCCTGAAAACTCCGAGAATAAGCTCTATGCCATCATCCCGCCAAAACTGGGACATAGGTGTGGGAGGAGAGCTGCAGATGATGATGGGGCCAGAGGTCCATGCACGTGACCCACAATGCAATGGCACATGACATAGACCCTATCTGCCTCCTCAGCTCTGACCCATCTCCCACCCCCACCCAAGTCCATTATGTGACTGCCCCATTCAGGGGCACCTGCCCAAACACAGGGCTGCACAAGGACACCCCTTCTCTTCACTCTCCCTACTTGGAAACATCTGCCTATAAGTAATATAAATATTCATACACCCATAAAGTTATCATGTTGGAAAGAGTGGGCACTTTAGAAGCTTCTGGCCATTGGATGCTGGAAAGCTCAAGCTGCGTATGAGGGAGAACTGCAAGCCACCCAGGCCACCCCTAGAGGCAGGTGTTTTCCTCTTCCCCCTTTGTGTTCCTACTCATTCTATGGTTTCCGGCTCCCATCCAGGTAACCCATGCAATCGAACTAAAAAACACATTTCACATTTCTACATGTTCATAGAAATATATACAAAAATAGAGAAGTAGGAAGATGCACATCTTGTAGCATTAATGGTTAGATATAAGTAAAAGCACACACGCCAACTTGAGTGTGTCTTACAATATAACAAATACAAGTAAAAACTGCAATTCTGTTAGGATGAAGAAGTCTCATGAACTGAAAAGAATAACCCCCTAAAACAATTCTCAGTGCACATATGAACACATACAGGCACCTCAAACCTGACACAGCAGGTTTGCTTCCAGACCACCCCAACAAAGCAAATAGTACAATCAAGCAAGTCAAATGAATCCTTCGGTTTCCCAGTGCATACAAAAGTTATGTCTACACCACACTATAGTCTATTAAATGTGCAATAGCATTATGTTTTTTAAAACCATGTACTGAATTAAAATACACTTTATTGCTACAAACTGCTAACCATCATCTGAGCCTTCAGCGAGTTGTAGCCTTTTTGCTGGTGGGGACTCTCGCCTCCATGCTGGTGGCACTGACTGATCAGGGTGGTCGTTGCTGAAGGTGGGAATAGCTGTGGCAATTTCCTAAAATAAGACAACAGTGAAGTTGGCCACATGGATGGACTCTTGCTTTCAGGGATGACTTCTCTGTAGCACCCCAAACTGTTTGATACATTTTACTCCCAGTAGAACTTCTTTCAAAACTAGAGCCGGTGCTCTCCAACCTGCAGCCGCGGCTCTCTCGACTATGTTCACACAACGCTCTCAACAATCTTGTCCTCTCAACAATCTTCCCAGTGTCCTCCCCAGGAGCAGATTCCATCTCAGGAAACCTTGTTCCCTGCTCATCCGCAAGCAGCAGCTCCTCATCTGTTTGTGATCATGAGAGGGAGGCCATTCAGTCCCATCTTCGGGCTCCACTTCCGGTTCCAGTTCTCTCGCCCTTTCCCCCACACTTCCTCCCTGAAGTCATGAACCCGCCACAGTCACCCGTGAAGGTTGCGATCAAATTCTTCCAAATTCCGGTTCATGCTGATATTTTGACCTCTTCCCAGGAATCACGAATGTTCTTAATGGCACCTGGAATGGTGAATCCTTGCCAAGAGGTTTTCAGTTTACTTTGCCCAAATCCATCCGAAGATTCACTACCCATGGCAGCCACAGCCTTACACAAGGTATTTCTTAAATAGTAAGACTTGAGAGTCCAGTGATCCTTCATCCACGGGCTGCAGAATAGAGGCTGTGTTGGCAGAAAACAATCATCTCATTCTACAGCTCCCTCAGAGCTCATGCCCAACCAGGCGCCTTGTCAGGGAGCAATCGTGTTGGGAAAAGGAGACTTTTTTCTGAGTGGTAGGTCTCAACAGTGGACTTAAAATATTCCAGAAACCATGTTGTAATCTAAAGAGCTTTCACTCAGGCTTCGCTGTCCCGTTTACAGAGCACGGGCAGAGTGGACTTAGCGCGATTCTTCAGGACTCTGGATTTCCAGAATGGTCAATGGGCACTGGCTTTGACTTCAAGTCACCAGCAGTGTGAGCCCCGAACAAGAGAGTCAGCCTGTCCTTTGAAACTTCAAAGCCGGGCGTTGACTTCCCCGCTCCAGCTGTGAGAGTCCTAGCTGGCGTCTCCCTCCAAGAGAGGCTGTTTTATCCGCACTGGAAATCCGTCACTCAGTTCAGCCTCCTTCATCACCTAACCCCGCTGGATCTCCCGGAGAACTTGCGGCAGCGTCTACACCAGCACTGGCTGCTCACCTTGCACTCTGACGTCAGAGATGGCTTCCTCCCTTACACCCCACGGACCCACCTCCACCAGCTTCCGCCTTTTCTCCTGCAGCTTCCCCACCGCTCTCAGCCTACGAAGAATTGGAGAGTCGGGGCCTTGCTCAGGATCAGGCTTTGGCTTAACAGAATGTCGAGGCTGGTGTGCTCGTCTATGCAGACCACTCAGACTTTCTCCACCTCAGCCATAAGGCTGTTTTGCTTTCTTACTGTTCATGTGTCCACTGGAAGGCACTTTGAATTTCCTTCAACAACTTTTCCTTTGTATTCTCAACCTGGCTGCTCGTTGTGTGGCCCAGCTTTTGGCCTATCTTAGCTTTTGACATGACTTTCTCACTAAGCTAAATCATTTCTAGCTTTTGATTTAAAGTGACAGACATGTGACTCTTCCTTTCACTTGAACACTTAGTGGCCGTTTTGGGGTTATCAATTGGCTAGTGGACCAGTCAGATGACACACACCATTTATCAATTAAATTCACAATCTTGGGGCGCCTGGGTGGCTCAGTGTGTTAAGTCTCTGCCTTTGGCCCAGGTCATGATCTCAGGGTCCTGGGATGGAGCCCTGTATCAGGCTCTCTGCTCAGCGGGGACCCTGCTCCCCCACCCCCTCCTCTGCCTGTCCGCCTGCTTGTGATCTCTCTCTCTCTCTCTCTCTCTGCCAAATAAATAAATAAAATATTTTTAAAAAAATAAAAATAAAAATAAATTCACAAATCACAATTTGTGCTACCTCAAAACAATTACGATATCACTGATCACAGAACAACATAATATAATAGTAATGAAAATGTTTGAACTATTGTAAGAATTACCAAGGTGAGACACGGAGATATGAAGTCAGGAAATGCTGTTGGAAAAATGGCACCAACAGACTTGTTCAACTCAGGGTAGCCACAAACCTTCAATTTATAAAAAATGCCATATCTTTGACATGCAACAAAGTGAAACACAATAAAATGAGGTATTCCTGTAACTATAATCCACATAGAATCTTTCCACAATTCACTTATCACACCCACACCAATTATTTTTGCAAAAAATAATTCCACAAGCATTGAAAAAGTTCTAGAACTTTCCAAGAGCTGTAGGTTTTTGAATTCGAATTTCTTCAAGTATCCATCAAGTGTCTGCTCTTTCTTCCAGGCTGGTGTCCACTTCATGCTTCCCCTTAAAGAAGAAACGTAAACAAGGGAAGCTCAGACCCCTAAAAAGATTATTTCCATTCAGGATACAGGAGAGCCGGTCCCACCTTCTTAGATGCACTTTCCAGAGCCTACAAGGTTGTCTTAAAGTCACTCCTTTCCATTTCTTTCCCCTCACATTTCCAAGGCATCCAGGGGGTGTTGACTGAGGTACCCCACCCTGTATGTTGAGCCTAGACACAAGCATTTCATACAAGGCGTCCTGCATGCGCAGAGCATGAGCTCTGGCCACAGGGATGTCACGGTCCCGTGAGGCCCATCTGCCGGATAAGTAGGTTCCAGGACTTAAAGACCACAATGTCTGGAAAGTAATGAAAGAACAGCCTCAGCCCAGGTTGGGGGAAAGCCATAGTGAGTTGGGAGCCCTTCAGAAAAGGCAGAGGGTGTGTAATCAGGCCCTGACCTTAGAGTGGACCCTAATGAGCTCCCCCTGCTGGTGAACTCGCTGTTCTGCAGCCCTTGTCTGTTTCCCATCCCCAGAAAATCAGGTGGAAAAGTCTGGGCCTCCCTTGAACCAGAAGCGCTGGGGGAGTCAAGGTCAGCAGAGAATCCTGCCCCAAAGGCAGGGCTGATAGCCCATCTGGGAGGATAGACAGATTATGGAGGGCGAACGCATGTGAGGTAGGAGATAGAGAATGGGACAGACTGTGGGAACAACATGTCCTCAGAGGAGAGGAACTGCACTGATCATGAGAGGGGTGTCCCAGGGCTGCCCACACCTGCACCTGTGAACGAGATGTGTGTGAAATGCATTGCACACCGCCATCCACAGATATATTAGGTGAGTACTGAAGAAAAGTATATATATATATATATTTTCTAGTTGTTGCCTTGAAAAAAACAGGCGATATTCTTTTTTTGAGAGAGAGAGAGTGTGCACACAGGTGAGTGGGAAGGGTGGGGAGAAGGGAAGGGTGGACAGAAGGAGGAAGAAAGAAAATCTTTTTTTTTA